GGAAATAGTCAAAACTTCAAGTATGTAAGTGTGAATCACTAACCCTTTAAGAAACTAGTTTTAGAATTTATCAAGATATCAGTATGCTGCTTTGATGTGATCTGTCCTTTTCTCCCAAAGGGTGACTAAATTTCAGTGGAGGTGAACTGAGAATTAGTTAAGATATAGCAGTCATACAATTGGCACTCATTATGTGCACTAGTTGCGTTCTATAAAGTTGCCATGAGCACTGAATTAGCAAATACCGAGCAGTTGCTCCTGGGAAAAATGCAGTTAGGTTCCTAAGTACTTTTTGTCACACCATTTTTATCACCTGATCAACACATAACTTTGTTATATGTGTGTTTCTTTTTAAAGACACCTTATTAATATTTATTATTGATTTTATATGCATTTTAAACAGTGAAATCACCGACAAAATTTCTTACTAGTATGCACACGTCTGTGAGTGACTGCAAAAACACTGGTACCAGTAAATTTGGGAAGAGGGTAAGGAGTAAATTTTAGCAAGTAGGCAAATTTGCACATACAGATTCTACAAATAGTGATCAACTGTATTTTGAGATGTGTTTGTAGTTGCATATGTGGATTAGCCACACGTTTTGGTATTTATTTTACTCTTTATTCTGAGTTTTTTAGTACAATCCTTTATAATTTGTTGTATGATAATCTAAAGAAAACCCATCATTCGGACAATGAAATTAGACTTGTTCACTGTTATGGTTCCTTTCTTTCCCTTGTAGTTTCAACTTCCCCTCCAACTTCTCTCATTGTGTGGGAAAAGAGAACTAGATTAAGAGTTCAGAGATATAGTTCAGTGTTAACTCTGCTCTTACCTTGAAGTGGGAACTTGAACAATTTATATAGCCAACGCATTATTTCCGTTCCATTCAACAGAATGATTGTGTTGTGCCAATCTCTAGAATACTTCTCAACCTTAAAACTCTGTTATTCTATATATGCAGATCTTGGAAAATTTAGACACTAAAACAAATTATATCACTAAAGGAAAATGCATTTCCATAATCATACTAAGACAAAGGCTTAGACTACCCAGATATTTAAAAGCACAGGAGTATATTACAATTTATTCTTTCAAATACTCAAATTTTGAGGTGCCTGGGTGGCACAGTCAGTTAACTGTCTGACTCTTGAACCCTGCTCAGGTCATGATCCCACAGCTCACAATCTCACGATTCACGAGTTCAACCCCCGCCTAGGGCTCTGTGCTGACGGTATGGAGCCTGCTTCAGATTCTCTCTCTCCTTCTCTCTCTGCTCCCCACCCCCTGGCCCATGCTATCTTAAAATAAATCAATTAATTAAAAATATTTTTAAATAGATGTAATTTAAAAGATGGAAATATAGGGGCACCTGGGTGGCTCAGTCAGTTAGGCATCCTACTCTTGGTTGTGGCTCAGGTCATGATCTCCTGGTTTGTGAGTTCAAGACCCGCATAGGGCTCTGCACTGACAGCACAGATCCTGCTTGGGATTCTCTCTCCCTCTTTCTCTGCCCCTCCCAAGCTCACTCTCTCTCTTTCTCTCTCTCTCCAAAAATAAACATAAAACTTTTTAAAATTGGGACTATATAGTTTGTTCTTGTTTTTTATTCATGAATTATCAATACATATGATAGTTTCATCTGCTATGCTAAGCTTTCTAGAGGTACAGTAATAAGTGAGTTACAACCTCTTTCCTAAATAAACTCCTAGGGCATAAGGGAGATTCAAGTTATACAAGAAAGTATTATTCAATACAATAAGTATTGTATTAGCTTTATGAGGTTAAAAGAAGTAACAGTTCTTTCTGCCTGAAAATTGGCACCACAAGAAAGAAGTTTTTCACAGGCAAACACATTATGTGGGTCTCAAAAGCTTTTGAAAAATAAGTCGAATTTTGCCAAGAAGAAAAGGAAAAGAGAAATCACTCAAAACAGAAGAGAAAATACTTTTGAGCATACTCGGGCATGGAAAAACACGGAGTATGCAAGGAACTCTTCATGGTCCTTTGTGGCAAAAGTACAGGAACTGAAGCAGAGCAACATCTTTGGAAATGTAGACGGAGGACAGATTGTAAAGAATCTTGACTACCATGCCGAAGGGTTTGGTTGTGACTCTCTAGGTAGAAGCAAACCATTCAAAGTTTCTCACAAAAGGGACTTATAAAAAGAGATAAAAGACTCAATTAGGAGGAATTCTATGAGCAATCTAGCTTAATGTCTGGTTCTATCCTGTGGGCACCAGAACCTGTAAAAGTCAGGCAGTGCCCCTTTCAACTACTTCTATACCTGAAGGTGCTTTGTGACTCCAGGCAAAACATGAAGACAAAAAGATTAGTTGACAGTGACTGAAAGCCTTCTATACAACCGTCCTTCTCCAAGGTGGATGCACGTTGGAATCATCAGGGGAACTTTAAAAAAATGCTGCTGGCTGGGTCTCACCCCTATTGATTCATGTTCAGTTGGCGTGGGAAGAAGTCTGGGCATTGAGAATTTTTCAAAGCTTGCCAGGTGATTCTAATATACATTCAAGTTTGAAAACTGCACTAAAACAAGAACCTATTGTTTCTGCAGTTCCAGAAGTTATGTTTCCCAAATTTTAAGCTATCTGAAATTTGGATACTTCTTATAATGCTTCTATGTGTTTCATTTGAAGTTCCTTTCTTCTTCCCTTTAAAATGCTCTTGTTAAATTTATGTGTACATCGTATAACCAGTGGTGTCTTAGAAAGCAGGAGATGTACTGTATAAAATATAATAACTTACGAACAATGAAATATAAAATATATATGGGAGCTGGTTTTCCATTCATTTCCTTGCTTGTTATTCTGGCCAGCGCTCTCTTTTTGCTCTGAACGAGCCCCCATGCTGCTTTGCCTTCTGATTTGTACCTCTTATTTTGACCACTTATGCCTACTAACTTGCTCCATATGCAGAGTCTTATTTTGAGTCTTTAGTCAATTGTTTTCCATTGCTTTCTACGTAAGGTATATCTTTCCTCCAGTATGCTCAAAAACAGCTGGTTGTAGTGATGATATAAGCCTTTCGCTCTAACTTTGAGACACTGTCTTTTTGTATTCCTGTTTGTTGTCATTCCCTTTTAGTTTCACTCTGGTGGCAGTGATAGGTTTAAAATCCTTTTGGCTGAAAGAAATGCTTTCCAATTTGGAGTCATTGCCGAAAACAGATCTCTCATTCTTATAGTGCTTATTTTTCTCTCCGTCTCTGTCTGTGTCTCTTTCCCCCTCCCTCCCACCCTTTTCTCAAACATCACCCCACCCCCACCCCACAGTGCATATACTCACAAGCCAAAAATCTCAGAAATAGCTCAGAAGTTTACTGTAAAAAATGAAATAATGGACAAACTGTAGGTGGACTTTTAAAGTGAGAAGTGATGAGCACTATAAGAATCCTAAGTGCCCCAAGGATGTTCAGTGCCAGTAGGAGAAAGAGAAAACAAATCTGAGAGAGTGTTCAGGGTTGTGTTAGGATTAGCAACTGAACGAATTTGCAATCTTTTTCGGATATTTGTTTTCTTAATCTTCTATCATTATCCCCACTGTAATGTAATGGGCATAGGCTCTTGATTTTCTTGTTTACTCTTGTTTTTCTACAGACAAGCTCATTTTCTTATACATAGTGTTAATTAAATATTTTCCAGGGGAGCCTGGGAGGCTCAGTCGGTTAAGCCCCTGACTTCGGCTCAGGTCATGATCTCACTGCTAGTGAGTTTGAACCCTGTGTTGGGCTCTGTGCTGACAGCTCAGAGCCTGAAGCCTGCTTCAGATTCTGTGTCTCCCTCTCTCTCTGTCCCTCCCCCGCTCACAGTCTGTCTCTCTCCCTCGCTCAGAAATTGCTAAACATTAAAATTAAAAAAAAAAAATTAAAAACAGGAAGACAAAATATCAATAAACATTAAAAATTAAATATTTTCCAAATAATTGAATTAATGTGTGGAAAGAGTAGTAAGTGAGAATAAAGCGTCAGATATGCATGTGATTTTTAGCATGATCCTAAATTCTCAGTCATATATTTAATGAAAAACACTATCCAATCATCACGTTCACCAGGGAGATTTTGCTTAATAATTATTTGGGAGAAATATTTTACTTATGATAACCTCTGCATTCATCAGTACTGTGTGGATATTTCTGCATAAATAACTACATTAGGTTGCATTTCTAGAGATCTGCTCAGTTCTAAGAAGATAGTTATTCTGTTATGCTGGGTTATTTATTTACTGACTTGAACCCCATATTCTGAGAGCGACATCTGCAAATTAAAGTGTATACCAAAGATGGCAACCAAAACACAGACCATTTGGTTTAAGGAGTGGTTCAACTGCTTGTGAAAGGATAGATGAAGACAAAAGAGTGTAACAGAGCAGGATTCAAGGGACTGGATTTTAGACCTAGTTTAACTCTCCCGTTCCATGGCCATGCCAGTTCTCCTTGGCCCCAGTTACCTTTCTATAAACAAAAGGGAAAGTCTTCGTAACTTTAAAACCTAAAAGAAACTTAGTTTTCTTTTGTTCAAAAAATGTCAATATTTCGTGAACATGAGAATTATCTTCAAATAATGAAAACCTATTTAGATGTAAAATGATACCAATTTAGTTAGTTTTGTTTTAGAAGATAAAATTAGCCCTAACAGGATTTATAGAGGGAGATTTTAGTTCAACCAAAGGGTAATTTTTTTTTTTAACCATAACATTAATGCAATAAGAAAAATCCTTGTATTGTATGAAGCAGTGATGCTTTATGTGGGTATCATGTAGGGAAATTATTCATCAGGTTAGAAAGTGAACTTGGTAACACCTTCCAGCTAGAGGATATTCTCAGTTTGGTGTCAAAGGCTTGATCTCAGGCCCAGTGTTTGAGCAAGCTTGTTTGACAGCATATTGAATTGAATAAATGGTTTCCTTTTGTCATAAAGTAAGGAGGGCGGGAACCATGGAGCACCAAAACTTCGTCTCTTTGATTCGCTCTATCACGTTCAGCAGGTTCAAGGTCAACTGCCGCCATTAATGATTCCCGTGTTCCCTCCTGATCAACGGACGCTGGCTGCAGCTGCCCAGCAAGGATTCCTTCTTCCTCCAGGCTTCAGCTATAAGGCTGGATGTAGTAAGTACCATTGATTTTCCATTTGGGAGTGGGTGGAGGGCATGGCTTTAAATTAGGCAATTTAATATTCCTGCCACACCAAGAAATGAGATCACTCATATAGCATTTTTATTTTAAAAAGGAAACACACCGAAAGTGTAGAAAAGGATTTATGTTGGTATTTAAAAGGACTTAGATTATTTCTTTGCTTATGAAGCCAGTATTTGCTCTTAATAATTCAGTTTCATAACTTCCATTTCTAGTGTATTTTTATAATATGAATATAATTTTCAGGTTCAATTTGTTTTTGCAAAGATAAGACAGGAAGATGTTTTTCAATTGCTTTCCATTTCCTTTTAAGATAAACTCAAGTTTCCTAATGTGAATTAGTTGGCCTTTCCTTATCTGTCTCCTCCCTGTTTACAGCCTAATTTCTTACTAGTCTTGTTTTAGTTCTTAGATCAAACCATATTCTTTCCTGACTCTTACATTGTAAGTGTTCACTCTCCTCAGCCTTCTGGACATCTTTCAACTCAGATCAGGGAGAACTTGCCTAACCTAGTTAGATCCCTTTCTCTTATTCCTTTGGATCCTGTATATTTTCTTTTTTATTTTAATTTTAAGTAAGTTCTGTGAGGGTAAGTGCTGGTTGTATTCATTGTTGTATCTAAACTTTCAGTACAACATTCAATTATTTGTTAAATGAATGAATGAATGGCCACTGGTTACAAACACTACAAGGGCATTTTTGTACTAAGTGAGAAGTTATTCCAAGTGAGAAGTTATTCCAAGATAACTGTGTATATTGCTTATTAACTTTAGATGCCTGTGATTTTATGACTTTTCTCTTTTTTTAATCAAAATTGAGATTGTATATTGTCAATTGTGGAAACACTCTCATACTTCACTTTCTAAAATTTAAATAGGCAAAATGCCAGCTATAATCTGTTGAATAAAAATTGTAACAAATTCCAAAGAGAGACTAGACCACTGAGTAACATATTTTCTAGAGCATTATTAGACAAAGGGCATAGATAGGGAGGTCAAGTTTATTAAAATATTTTTATTCATAAGAGTAGAACATCATTGGAAACAATTAATGAAATACCACCATCCTTCAGATATTCATATAGAGTATTGTTTTTTTAAAGTCCAGTATACGTGGGTTCATTTCTACGTTAATAAATTGTCCCATTAAAATCTTGCTATGCTTCAGTACTTATTGCATTTGCATAACTCTATCCAACATTGCTAGAGATCAGATTTAAGTTTCCTGTAAAAATGATGTCTTGAATTTCACATTTTAACACTTATCCCTAGTTTTTAAGCATTTCTCTATATAATATTGAAGAAGTGCGATGTATTTTGTTTTTAAATATACAAAGCCATTTGAGAAGAGTAGATTGCAACTACAGAATCTAGGTAAAAGTGAACTGAACTCAGGACTGTAAAAATTCACACTTGTATGATATTTTGCCCTTTGCAGTTTACACACTGCTTTTTCACATCTTTCTCTTGACTTTGATTTCATGTGTTTTAAGATGATGTTCTCACTCTGGGTCCTGAATTTATTCATTTAATAATATTTTCCACATCATTCTATCTTTGTAGATCAGTTCATTCAGAAACACCAACATTTTTAATGATCAACATATGTTTATCTTCCAAATATTTAAATTGTAAGAATAATTTAAATTCTAAATATAAGATTTTAAACTCTGCTGCTACACTAAATTCTGAGTTTTTAATCATAAAATATTTTTTTGTCTTGTTTTGTTTCCATTTTCCTAAGGAATTACTAGTCACATTAAACACATGTTGCCAATGTGTTTTTTGGTAACCTTAGTTACTGAAGAGAAAAAAAAAAAAGGACCCTTTTAAAAATCATCAGTTGCCTCAGATGGCACCTGCAACACATACGTATAGACTAGTTCTGTTTGCCAGAAAGACATTTTTTAAGTAACTGTAGAAAAAAGTCGCATTAGCAAATATTGTGCTGAAGAGAAAACCATATTGGGTATGAACAATAGCATAATTCTAGGCCTGGAAAAGGTCAAGAACACCTCTCCCTCACTCCCATTTGACAGAGTTGGCAACTAACTTTGTCCAGTGCTAATGTGATGTGGCTTGGAGACACTTTTCCCTTTCTAAACTTGTTCATATATTAACCATTTGATATTTATGCCTTTGGTGCTTAAAATTATAAATAATACCATTTCGTTTGTAACCTTGGAAATAAAATAGAAGATAGCCTTTACAGCCGCTGGCAAGCTTGAAACTACTATCATGCCAAACCCTGAAACTCGGAAGCCAGAAGCAACAGAAAGTACCACCGTTGTTGACACTCTGGCACTTTGAGCCAGTTTGGGTGAGAGCAGTAAATAGTCCAGACTATTTCCTCCCTAATCACATTGCAGGAAAAATGGAGATAGGAAAGGACATAAACCTTGCCATCTCTCTTCAGTGGATCATCTTATTATTTTCTCCCCAGAATTGTCAACCATACGTCACTTGTTTTAATTTGAGTATGATTATGTAGTTCTCAGTGAAGAAGACTGACCAACTCATCTCAAATTCGAGTTTCAAGCACATGGGAAAGATTTATTTGGTGGTATCAAAAATTCAAATGCTTTTCGTCATCCATTCATAGAAAGTATTGGTGATAACTATTTCTGTTGAGACTATGTATCTTGATCAAATAAATAAAATAAAAATCTCTGGAAGTATACAAAAACGTTAAAATGTTCTCAAGAGGGAAAAGATAAAATAAAAACAGAAGTTGGGGTACCTAATCGTCATAATTGTGTAAGCATCTTCTGTTTTCTGAAAAAGGAAGCTTTCATTTGGACAGAAAGATATTTTGTCTTTGAAAAATGAAATAGTAGGGGCTCAGTCGGTTAAGCATCCAATTTCGGCTCAGGTCATGATCTGGCATTTAGTGGGTTCAGGCCCGGCATCGGGCTCTGTGCTGACAGCTAGCTCAGAACCTGGAACCTGCTTCAGATTCTGTATCTCCCTCTCTCTCTGACCCTCCCCTGCACACGCTGTCTCTTTCTCTCTCAGAAATAAATAAAACATTAAAAAAAAAAAAAGAAAAGAAAAATGTAATAGTAGAGGTATGGCATGGAATGGAGACCTACGGGTAGATTCTCTCTTACCTGCTAGAATGAATGTCAGTAAACAATAGAATGATTTAATAGCAGTACAACCAAAGACTTCAGAGCAAACTGGCTAGATAGTAAAGAAGTTGTAAAGAATGTTGCAATCCACGCGTAACCATGAATGTGTAGATCAGTCTACAGATATCTATGTACTATTATCAGAATCTCCGATTCTGTTTTAGCATTTGCTATTAATAAAATCAAGAACGAAAGCATGCTTCTTCATGGATCCATATCTAGTTGTTACTTTTCTTACTTCTTTTTTTAATGTTTATTTATTTATTTTGAGAGAGAAAGTGAGTGGGTGGGGGAGGGGAAGAGGAAGAGAAAATTCCAAGCAGGCTCTTCACTGCCTGCACAGAGCCCAGACAGGGGCTTGAACTCACAAACTCTGAGATCATGACCTGAGCCGAAATCAAAAATCAAATGCTTACCTGACTGAACGACCCCGGAGCCCCTTACTTATTTCTTAATATCTAAAAATATTTCCAAACTTCTAAGAAGATGAAGATAATGGTGTATTATTAAGTTGAATTTTTTAAACATATATAATAACTTGAAAAATATTTCAAAACATTGGTTTAAAAATATTCAAAAACACAGGTTTGATCAATCACCTCAATTCATAGACCATTCCATTCAGGGGAAAAATTAATTAAGTAATCTGTATTTTTAACTCGTCAATTCTATGAAAACTGTCAACTGAGTTGCTATATGCAGACCCCTCCCATTTTTATAATCCATCATTAAAAACCCCAGTTTTAAATTATGTCTGTGGGCACCTGCTCATTTGAATCAGAAAACTCTCATTAAAGTTCTTGAAATGAATTTTGAAACTAAATAACTAAGGTTCCAGTACTGAATAATAAAATAATAAAACAAATAGTAATAATAAACGAGATTCCAATACTAAATAATAAAATAAATGAATTGGTTCAAGTTCACTCTGGATGGTTGAGGAGTCCTTGGACATAGTTCACTTGCCTCTACTGAAAAGTCTGAGTGAAATCCTAAGCAATTAAACAAAGAATTTAACCTCTTAGGATCCTAATCTCTTAACCTGTGAAGCACAAAAGTTGTTTCACTTAGACTTTTGTGAAATGCAGTGTACACACTTTGACACCCACAGAATACTTTCATGCTGGCAAGCAGACATCACTTTTGTATTTGCTCATATGGCAAAAAAAAAAAAAAAAACCTAATAAACTTCAAAATAATTTTGAATATGAATGCTGGTTTTGGCATTTTCAACTTGAGAGAAACTTTTGAGATAAGGTGGTTGAAAGTCCTAGGTTTGGTTAATACCAATTTCACTGACTCCAGTTCTCTTTCCATGACACACAGCTTCCTCACACCCCACCCTCAAAGTTAAATGCTGTTCCTTCAGAACACATAGTTTATAAGCAGGAATGAGAGGAATAGGTGTTTCTCTTCTCACTAATAACTACGGTCCTCTGCCCCTCTTCTCTCTGTTTGGGTGTAAAATTTCTAGTCATATAATTCTAATAGCTGCCTTAGACATATTTGACAGGAACACATTTTATATGGAAATAAAAAAAATCTGCAGTAAGGCAATCCAATAAAATAACCCATTTTCTATATACAGTACAAAACAAACAGTTGTAAAAGAGTTGGCTCGAGAGTTTAGCCCAAAGTGTCAAATTGAATGTGTCGCATAGCTACAGATAGAGACTCTTTCCCCAGCGATGGGCATGTGCCTAGTGCTGAGACCCAAACTGTGTTCTAAGGTACCAGGATACTTTTACTTATTCATAGGCGCATACAACATATTTTAAAATTTCAAGGAAAACACAGAGACATCTGTCAGATACTATATAACCTACCTTAGTTTGTTTGGAC